GACATCCAAAGCTGGGAGCCACCTCCTGCCACTCGCACCCATCCTGCCAACCCTCCTCTCCTCGTCAGCTCCACTCCAGACCCACTCTCCATCCCCCTGGCCAGCACGGTAACCTTCTGTACCTGTTGTGCTGCCCGCTAGGAGCTCGCTCCCCAGCTCTGCAGAGGGCTGGTTGGAAGCTGGGGCTCCCGGGGGGCTCCGCTGCCCCTCGGTGCCAACCCACGCCCCAGCCTTGGGCTGCCCATCCCTGGGGAGCCCAGCGCCTCTCTTCCAGCCCCACCTTCACCATCCTGCTGGCAGCACTGCTTCAGCCTTTCCTATGGCCGGGAGACCCTTCTCTAACCCTGCAAAGGCAGTTTGGGGCCAATTTCTTGCTGTGTTGAGCAGCCCGTGGCTTCAGAACAAAGCTGTGGGGCTGGGCACTGCTGCCCCTCTCCTCAGTGCTCCCCTTGCACCATCTGCACCACCTCTCACGCCCCACTTTCCCTGTGCTTCCTTCTCCCAGTGCTTGGCACTTTGCAGGTGAGTCTGAGTTACTCAAAGAGGATCCCAGCCACTGCAAAAGAAGTCAGCCCTTGCATGCATGTCCATGCCCTTGTCATTACCACTGTAATAATAATGCCTGAGTTAAGGAGGCAATCAAATGAACACCCCACTTAGGGACACATCTAGATGATTACGACGGCCTTTGATGCTTCCAAGATGTAAATACCGATTGCTAGATGCTTAAAGATGCCAGGGTTTTACAAGATAATGATTCAACGATGAAACACTCACTTTCATGTAAGTGCTGGCACGGAAGAGCCTTGGTGTAAAAGATGAAATGTTCTGCCTTAAGAGCAGGGCGATAATGAATTAGCTGCAGAGACGTCTTGGCAGAATGAATACTGCAAGGCAAAACAAACACAAGATGCTGCTTTACGTAAGGCGGTTTCAGAGGTTGGTTGTGTTTACACCTCTGAGGCTGAAGCATGGGAGGTGGGCGGCCGTCTTTCATCCGAAATGGAGACAGAGCCAGAAGGTGCGCCTAGAAAAGGGCCGTGGGATGCTGCCGGCGCGAGATGTGGGCTTTGAGACATCGGGGCTCTCCAGCACGACCACGTCCTCCCAGGGGACTGAACGAGCAGATCAGCCGAGAGCCTTTTGTGTCGCTGCAGCAGCCTTGACACCTCCAAGTGCTCCGCAGCGAGCCCGCCCTGACAGCCGAGCACCGCTCCCAGCCGAGGAGACAGCCTGGGCAGGCAGCTCCGGCAGCGAGTCGGTGACACTTTAATTAAAACCAGGTATTTGCTAGGGGATTTTATGACTGCTGTTACAACGAAAATTTCCTTCTCCGTTTGAAGGAAAGTGAGAAGCTGTCAGTCCGCGCCTGACGTTGAAGAGCCAATATATGCCACCGGGAATCAGCCGTCCTCAGCCCCTGCCAGGGCTGCTGAGTGAGGCCAGCCCTTCCCGCAGCCATTGGGCAGACGTGCCTGTCCCAGCAGAGCCCTGTCCTCTGTCCTGCCTCTCAGCACGGCAGCCCTGTGCCTGTCCTTCCTAAGGTGCTTTCTAGTTCATTCAGTTCTCAGGTGACACCAGTCTTTAAGATTAAGCCTTCTTGATCCAAGCAGCATTCTTGCATGTAATGTGGAAGGGGGAACGTTGCCTCCTGGACACACAAAAAGCCAGGATCTGCAGCTCCTGACATGGGCCAGGAGCTGGAATGACCCTAACCACCCTTGTGAAACCCTCAGAAGTCCAAAAGTCTCCCCAGAGTGGGCAGCAACATCACTGCAGCTCTATCTGGGACCCCTGCCTCCCCACTGCACTGTGCTGGGTGCTTGCCCCATCGCTTCGGGGACATCCCAGCAGGAAATCTGTGCCCAGGACAGGCAGTGGCAAAACCCATTGCTCAGAAGACTTCTGGGACCCTTTTCTTTTTCCTTCCCTTTTCTTTTTCTCTAACCTAGACCTGCTGTGAAATCCCAAAGGCACCAAGCAGCGAGCAGGGGGATGCTCAGCAGTGAGCCACTGTCTCTGAGCACAGAAAAGGAAAAGCAGAGGAAAAACTGCCAGGTTTGCTCCAGTAGCCGTGCCCCTCCAGCCACCTGCTTCCAAGCTTCTCTCCGATCACCAGCCTGGCCATGCAGACGTGTTGATAAAAACCCAAGCTCAGCTCAGCTTTGGGAGCCAGCCGCAGGCTGCAGCCCGTGCTCCCATCCCGCATCCCAAAGGGCTCGGGGAGCACGGCTGCTTGGGGTGCTGCAGGGGTGCTGCGTGTTTATGTTTCAATACAATTACTAAGTAGATTTCTGCATATATATATATATATAAAATGGTAGATGAGATATTTGTGTACACAAATCATGTATGCCAATATGCACAAATATTTAAGTGATAAGCATTCGCCCTTCTAGTGTAAAACCCCTGTAGTGTGAGATTAATTATTATTTAGTTTCAAGGCAAATAATTGTCAATAAAAACATACGGGCACAAAAGGTGTGTGAATCAAAGAATCACAGAATGGCTCAGGTTGGAAGGGACTTTAAAGATCACCCTGCTCCAACCCCTTGCCAGGGGATGCCACCCGCTAGATCAAGTTGCCCAAAGCCCCATCCAGCCTGGCCTCGAACACCTCCAGGGATGGGGCACCCACAGCTGCTCTGGGCAGCCTGTTCAGTGCCTCACTGCCCTCCGAGTGAAGAATTCCTTCCTTACACCCAATCTCAACCTTCCTTCTTTTAGTCTCACGTAACTTTACAAAACACGAGTGATATCCCAGCAAGTTAGCTAATGTAACATCCCTCAGCAGCTCGGCCAGACCCGCCTGCATCTGGGCTGTCTACGAAGTGCCACCAGCTGCTGGGGACCCGGCAGAGCAGCCACCAAGGAAGATAAATAGGGTGGGAATGAAGCCAAACCAGATTGCTGTGATGAGACAAGCCACGCGGCCAAATTCACGGTGGCACAGGGAGCCAGAGAGCACCGACGAGCTCCTGGATCTGCGGCAGCTTCTGTCTGCGCCTGCACCCACCTGCCCTGACCTGGCCCCGTTGCACACGCAGGGAGGTGTAAGGCTTCGTTCTCCGTTGTAAGGTAGAGAAATGCCCCCTATTTCTCTGAAGAGATGAACTACAAAAGCAGCACTATGGTTTTTGCTATCATCTACCACCACAACCCCCCTGCGGGAAAACTGACGAGTTTTCCTGCTCTTTTTAATGTTTTCTCCAAATCTCCGACAAAATCTCACAAAAGCTCCAGCTGGAAGAGGGACGCTAGAGATGCTCCAGTCTTTTCTAAGCATGCTCGTCAAAAACATGCACTCTACATGAGCACACAACAGATAAGAAATCTCAGACGACTCTTAGTAGGGGTCACGGGCACACATTTATAAATCCCCTGCCAAACGTGTGTTGATTTTGTCATCGCATCTGCGATGACTCCACAGCCTCCTGGGATACCCCTCTGATCTCCCACAAAGCTCCGTGGGATTAAACAGCCTGGGAAATGGTCCTGGCTGTGTTTTCAGAAGTCTTTTGCTGCCAGTGGTCTTGGGAAGCTGGTGGTCAGCGCTGCCTTGGGGCAAGCGGACAGAGCAGCTCTGAAATGAGACTTTTTAGCAGGGACCCAGGAGACTAGTGTTGAGCTTGCAAAAACTTCCAGTGCTTAAAGACAGAGGAGCCGACAGATAACCAGGAACACAAAGGAACTGGCACTCCCCATGCCAGGCAGCAAGCCAGCAGCTCCTGAAAGGGTTTGGGGACACACTCTGGCATCCCAGGACACTCCAGATGCATCTGCTCTAAGTGTGAACGGGATCAGGAGGGGAGGGAGGATGCAGCCACACTGCTTGCTGTGTAGGAGCAGCTCTGTAGGAACATTTGGGAAGCAACAAGGAAAAAAAAAAAACAAGAGCAGAAGCCCAGTGAATTTTGAGGAGAGATGTCCTCAAACCAATTCCGTTTTAACTCTCCAAACCACACCCTCCACTGATGATCCTGCATGTCAGAGCACTATCCCACAACTTCAGAAACAGCTGTGGCATTTTTTTTCAGAACAAAACAGGCGATACCATAAGGACGCTTTACTTCTCCCAGACAGAACAGGAGCAGTACAGGGTCCGACACGTGAACGTGCTCAGCAGCACAATGCGCAGCTGTTTCGTGGTCAGGGCCAGAATTGAAATTCTCACCACGGGTTTTCGTAGAGTTCGCCTCCATCCAACCCACCGTGCTATCAGACACATCCTTCCAGCAAAGAGACAACCTTCTTGCCTCGAAGGTGCCATGCTGCCGCAAGGCTCTGGAAGTGCTGGGTGCAACAACATAACCGGCCCGAGGGAGCGAGCTCTGTTTGCATTTCAATACGGGTCGCAGAGGTCGACAGCACTGTAAGTGCTCCGCTTGCTCTCGCTCGCTTATGGACTGTCGCAGCTTGCTCAGAGCCACGGCCAAGGGCACACACCAAGTCACCAACTGCTCGAGCTGGTGGGGTGATTTGCAGATCCTTTGTTTGTGTTCATGAATACGGCGGCCCCAGAGAGCCTCCTCCTTCTCTCTCACCCCTGCGGCTCGCCGCGATTTGCACTTAAGCTGACGGAGGAAGACAGGCGTCAATGTCAACGCAGGGGCTGTGGAGATGCGCGAGACCAGCCCGTTGCGACACGGAGCGAAACCCTTCAGCTCCCCACAGCAGCGCAGCTGTGCAAAGCAGGAGCAGAGGGAGCCAGAGGTGGGAGAGGTCACCTCCGCATCCCCGCTGCCCGGCCGCCGGGTCCCGGCTCTGCTCCCCAGGCTCAGCCAAGCTGTCGTGACTCCTCCTGACCTGATTTAATGATCTGCGTACGCCCCGAAGCCAAAGTGATTGACAGCCCTTCCACTGCTATCCTCGCTCCTGTAATTGCAGCAGCTATTCTTGTATGCCGAAATGTCTAATCTTAGTAAGCCACAGAGCTGCTTGATAATATGGACCAACCGGGAATTTCCACGCCATTACTCACCGCGGCTACTGGCACTTACTTGGGCTGGTAAAAGTCCTTCTTGTCTGCTGACCCCAGGCTCTGCAAGACACAAGACAAAACAGAAATGTTTCTTTAACCCTTTGCCAAGCAGGTTTCACTGATGAAGACGCGTGGCGAGCAGGCAAAGCTGTGCCTATGGGTGCATGGGGGCAGGCTCGGGGCACCTGCAGCCACTGAGCATATCGTGGGCAGTGTCCGCAGGCAGCTGGGGCTGTGACAGGACAGAGTCGAAGCAGAGGCACAAGGATGTGTTAGGTTTGAACCCAGTGGGTCCAGGCACAGCCAGGTCTGCCACCGCTTGCAGAAGGGTGGCTGGAAACAGGATGGGGTGCAGGGCCGGCGGAGACCCCAAGCCCCACAGCCACTCCCTGGGGATAGGGCGACAAAATTCTTCCACCAAGCAAAACCACACCAGACCCCAAGCACATGAAAGCCTACCAGGGACAGCTCGGGGACAGTCCTCACCTCACGCCCCGCCAGGACGAGGGGCGGCAGCCCACAGCGCGGGGTGGCCCCACCACCACCGTCCCCGTTGTCCCCGTGTCCCCACAGACGTGTGCCGGCTCGCGGGCAGCGCTGGGGCTGGGGCTGGGGCTGGGGCTGGGCCGGCCGCCTGCTGGAGTTTTGCTCCACGGTTGCCAGGCAATGGCGAAGGCAAACTCTGCTTCTGCTTCGGCAGGGAGCAGCAGGCCCGAATGCTAATCAGGGGCGCAGGAACAGTCCCGGCCCCACACTGCCCCTGCCAGCACCCCCCGACCCAGGCCTTGCTCCCACCCGGGGGCAGAGGAGCTGGGGAGGAAGGCCCCGGCTTGAAGCAGGCAGGGCTGAGCCGGGCCTAAAGCGCCCCACGGCCCCCAGGGGCTGCCAGGCCAGCAGGCAGTGCCCCGGCCATGTCCCCCCAGGGTTGGGGGGCACCAGGAGCACGGGGCTGGGTGTATGTGGCCCTCATGCTCATCCCATGATGGGACGAGCCTTCCTCCAGCCTCCCCACAGGGAAAGGCCCCTCGCCAGCCCGTTTGTTTCACCACCATTGTGGTGAATTCTTCCTTGAGAAATGTCCTTGCACTGCCTCTGCCCAGCACTTGCCTCATTCTCGCTCCACTCCACCATCAAAGCAGGTAAATTCCCCGACACAGAGCTGCAAGCAAGCCCCCACCTCAGGAACACCTCCACTCTTTCGGGCACAGCGCTCCCACGAGACATTTCATTACTTCTTTAAACTCGACATCTAAACCACAGAGGGACAGTTCCCAAACTACGGCTACAACACAGTCCCCGAGCCACAACAAATTCAGCTTCATAGGATCCCTGTGCCAGCAGGGATCACAGAGAGCTGGCGGTATTTAAGGAGAAGCTGCAAGCAGCTTCCTCAGCACCCTCCAAGCGACACACGGGGAATGTGCATCCTGCAGAGAGCTGGTGAGGAGTGAGCAAAGCCATCGGCCACAGCTGGTGGCAAGAACCCCCGTGGGCATGGCCACTCAGCCCCATTTGCAAGCCCCTGGGCAGGATGAGCTGCACAGGGCATGCTCCCAGATGGTGGTGGGAGCTTGTCGAGCAGCTGGTTTTTAAAAGTCACAGGGAACTGGGAGGGTATGGGAGAGCTGGAATGAAACGGGGAGGCACTAGCTTTGGAGAGAGGAAAAACAAAACAATAAGACGGGGCGCGATTGTAGCAGGGGACTAGCCAAAATATCTGATTTTGAGCCTTATTAAGAACATAGCTATCGAGGAGGGAAAGCCGAATTCCAGCAACATGTCCAAGGAATCAGGCCTGGAGCAAGGCCCAGAGCTGTGGATCAGCTCCTGGCTCTACCACCACCCCGCTGGCTGACCTCAGGCTCTTTCTTCCCTCTCCGTGCCCGAGCCTCCCCAGTTCCTTTGCCTCATCCCTCTCTTCCCGGAAGAAAGAGGGACCATGAGCGGCAACCAGGCAAAATTCCCACTGCATTTCAGGACTTTCTGCTGAGCACACGCAAGGGGTGAGGATGTGCTTTGACCACCTCTACGAGAGGTGCAATCGATGGGTGAACAGCAGCTGGAGGTGGCCGCAGCATCGCCCTGGGGGGCAGCGACAGCCCCGGCACCACCCCACAGAGTATGGCAATTTTGGCTGACAGCGGCAGGAGGGGACGATGGCCAAGAATTGGTTGAGGGAAAGACCCCTGGGTGGAAAGACCACCGTAAGGAAACAGTGGAATGAAACAGAGGAAGGCAACACAAAGCTGGAATCTTAGGAAAACCGTCCTGGCGCTCAGCTTGAGCAGAGTTTGAGCCAGCTCCAGAGCAGCATTTCTATGGGATTTTAGAAAGCTGACCTGATAAGGCATGGAGACCTGTGCCAAGGGGACAGTTCCTGGCCTTACAGGGACGTCAGGAGAGCTCTTCTTTTGCTGTCTGTGCCTGGGGACTGGAAGAGGCAGAGAGCTCCCAAAAATGAGCAAAAGGTGGCTTAACATTTTTCTTTGCCTTCTGGAAGGAAGGATAGTTCCTCCTGAACCGATACAGGCTATGGAGGCTTTCATCTGTGCAGTCATACAATAAAAACCCAAATGCCTGCCTTCGTGCTTGCATTATTACTGGTGGTCTGCTGGCTGCCAGGAGAGTCATCTGCTGGTGGTTCAGGCACATCCATGCATAGCTGGGGTCTCCAGAGGCTGCGGCATGACAGCTCCACAACCAAAATAAATCCGGGAGCCACAGAGGCTCTGGGAGGCTTGCTGATGCTGCAGGGAGACCCTCGCCTTCCCGGGGGGACAAGGGGAGTGGCAGCATCCCTGAGTTCAAAGAGCCCCCCGCGTGCTCCGAGCCTCCCCACGCAGCGTGAGTCACCCTCCAGCGGGGCCGCGGCGCTGCCTCTCGTTTGCTCACTTCATTGATGACTCAGGGTTTAGGAAGCACGTTTTAAATCCCTTAATGAAATAATGGAGAGTCTTTTTTTTTCTTTTTTTCTTTCTTTTTTTTTCTTTTTTTTTTTCCCTTTTATTTTTTTTTCAGCATGTATTTTTAAAACAAATACTAGAACGAGGCTTGTGCCCATCCCCATCATACCCTCCCGAGACACACGGATACTGGGACCGAGCCTGGGGACACCCAGGGGACATAAGCAGCCCCCAGCACCTCCCGACAGGGCCGTGCAGGGAAGGAGGGAGCCCATGACTGGTCTGGACAAGCCCTGCAGAGCCCAGTGGTGCCCTGGGGCATTGCTGAACATCGGGGCTGAGCCTTGGGGGCGCTCGCCCTTCTGAATGCGGATGGGTGCTGATGGTGACCTCCTGCCCCTGCAAATTGCCCCAGCAAAACACGGGAGCAGCAGAACGGGATGCTGGCACCACATCCACAGCTCCTGGGCCAGAATGCAGCCTGCCAAGACCGGGGATTGTCTGCCAACTTGATTAAGAAAGTGTTGTCCCAAGCATGGCCAAGGTCATTACCATTAACCCCAGAATCCTCCCCATGTAAGAGTAACTGACCCAGGCTGGTGCTGCGCTTGTTTTGAACAAAAGACCTCTCTGCGTGGTGCTCTGAGCCCTTCTGCTCTTGCCTCCAAGAGTGCAACATCACAAGAAGCACCTTAGAAATGGTAAGAGGGCAAAAGGAAGGTAACAGGATGAACTGAGAGATCAGCGTGGTTTTATTACTATAAAGGAACCACCATAAGGCCACATGCCCAGATTGTTAAAAACAAAACAAACAAAACACCCCTTGCAGGTTGCTTTTAACCTGCCTGTAAAAGCTCAGCCCCCGGGCTAGTGGAGCAGCACCAGCAGCACCTGGACCCTCTCGGAGGCTGGCCCTGTAGCACCAGGACGCAGAGGGCAGCACCTGCCTGCTCCCACGTCCCCAGTGGTGTTTCTATTGCTGCGCTTCCCAAAGCTCCTCACCCGCAGGACAGAGCAACCCCACGGGAAGAGCATGGCACCCTGGCTGGTTTCAGCACTGCCCCAAAATCCCCTTTTAAACACCACATTTTGTACAAAATGTCAAAAGGCATCTGTGGGCTTGGCTTTTCGTTCAAACCATGACCCACCACTTTCACGAATCCTTTGCAAACCTGCGAGAGCCATGGCCAAAGCTGAGCACCTGAAATTATTTCCTTAACATCACATTTCAGGCACTAAGTAAACTACTTTGCAAGCTACCGCCAGCCTTGCTGGTCCCCAGCAAGAATTAGCACAACGCGCCGCAGACTATAAAAGATGAGACCATTTTAAAGGACGGCACCGAGTTGGGAAATTCAGCCAAGCTGGGGAGATAACAGGCACGGTGCTGCAAACGAGGTTGCCCACGGAGGGGCTGAGGCAGAGGTTTTGCATTATCTGTTTATTCACCCCAGCAGCCATCAATCCTCTTGCACTTTTTACTCTCCTAATATGTTGCCGAGCGTAATCTCAGCTCATCTTTTTCCGGGCAGCGTCCCTCGGAGAGCGAAGTTATTAGCGAGGCTGAAGAAGCCTCATGCAATTGTTTAGAAACGACACCAAAATAATCCCCAAAGACAGGCAGCTGCTTGCAGGTGGCAGCTTTCTGAGTCGTTCCAATAAACTCTAGCTCAGTAACTCCCAGAATAATCAATGCCCATACAGAAAGCAGGCAAAAACCGAGGGATGAGGTCTTTTTTCCTGCTAGAAGAGCAGGGAAATAAACCTGTGGGCTGAAGTCCGTGCTGCAAAGCTGCCCTGCGCAAACCTCCTCGCCTGCTGGGACGGCTGCACCCGTGCCCGAGGTCCTGGGAGGGGACAGGCTGGCTCCTGTGGGATTTGGGCACGGGGGCAGCTGCTTGGCCCCGAGGCAGGGCAGGGTGTGCTGGGGGCTGTGGCTGCGCTGCCCGTCCCCCCCCAGTGAGATCCTGGTGGTTTGTGCTGTCAGGCACAGCCCTTAGTCAAGCTCGGCGTATCTGCAGCATGCTGCATTTATGACTAATCAGGAGGCGATGCCTGACTGTCGGAAGGGCAGGAAAATTCAGAGCACTGGGATGCCAGAGGATTGCTCGGAGGTTTTGTCCGCCCATCCTTGCTAACAGCACCCCCCTGCACGAG